AACATGCAGCGCTATGACCTGGCCTCCCACCTCTCCCTGCGGCCGAGCCCACGGGACAGCGATGCGGAGAGCGATGCCGGCGGCGCCACAAGCGGTCGCCGTGAGAGTGACGAGGACTCCACCTCATCTCGCCTCCTACCACCGCACCGCAAACGCGAGGGCCCTGTGGGTGGGGAAAGCGACTCAGATGAGGTCAGAAACAATAACGGAAGCAGCCGCTGCATGACACCCACACGGGGGGGCCCCTACACCCCGACAGGGCCCGAGGGCGCCGCCTCCTCTGCCTTGGCCCGCTTCCTGCCTGGTGGCCGGTGCAGCCTGCGTGACAGGCAGCAAATGATTGACATCCGCGTGGAAGCGGAGAGGCTCGTTCGGACCATCGACCGGCTCATCGCTGACACGGCCACTGTCATTTCAGAGGCGAGGGTCTACGTTTCAAACGGCGACCTGATGTTTGGGAGAGGAGAGGAGGGCGGAGAGGATGATGGGAGCAGGATCAGGGAACATGAGCTGCTATATCGCATTAACGCTCAGATGAAGGCTTTCCGCAAAGAACTGCAGGCCTTCATAGACAGACTGGAAGTGCCGAGGCTCGAGGACAGGGATACGGAGGAGCCGCTGTCGGTGAGACAAAGATTAAAAATGAGCCTGATGGTGGCATTTAAAAAAGTCTTCAAAAGTTTAATGGAGTTTTTCTTCTTCCTTTTCCTCACTTAATCCAACCTCTTTATTCTCATCCGTTATGGTTTGTCACTCTACTCCTCCTCCGCCCAGATGTTCCAGCCTATCATTTTGCTCATCCTCATACTTGTGTTATTCTCATCCCTCTCCTACGCCACCATCTTTAAACTAGTCTTTCTTTTTACTCTTTTCTTTGTCCTGTGATGTACGCCTCCCTTAATTCACATCATCCCTTGTTTGTTTTTTGCTCTTTTTGTTTTTTCTTCTTCCCCCGCATCCTTTGTTGCCAAGGTAACCAATAGCACAGTAAAAGCTCAGCACTTTCCAAGGCTGCTGTCACGTTCAAGAAAGTGTGGCTAGATTCAACACTGGAGTCGACATTATCCATAATAACACATCACCGTCCACATCAGTCCCTCAAGAAGGTGAGTTACTTTAAGTAAGAAAAAACGCATTAGCTGATATTATCCCAGTTCTCACTCGTCATTACTCTGCGTCCCTTCGACCAGAAAAATATGAAGGACCACACCCAAGCAGTCAGGGTTCTGTAATGAGTATTTGGGTTTATTACCTTTAAACTAATTTTAGTAGTTTCAGGAGGTATGTCTGTTTGAACCAACAATAGATTTTATTATAGAAGTTCATTCTCCACCATGTGACAAAATAAGTTAAGCTCTCTGGTCCCTAAAGCACTTATAGGACCTCTATGTTTGCCTCAGACGATAGTTATCTGTATTAAAGGAATATTTTGACATTTTGGAAAAGAACAGTTACTCACTTTGCCACTGAGAGTTAATCTAGATGACAAGATTGATTACGCTGTTATGTCTGTGTTCCTAATGTGAAGCTAGAGCCAGCTACTGATACTGGAAGCAGACTTTTTAATCGTTTTTACAAACCAACAAGATAAAACATGTAAATGATTTAACTTTAGAGGTGCTGTTAGGGGCATATTTCACCTTTGGACAGAGCCAGGCTGCCTGCCTTTCTCCCTACTCCATCACTCTTGATGCTAAGCTACCCAACCTAGCTATGGTATTAATATACCTCGCAGAGTGGTATGAATCTTCTCACTTAAGTAATCGCAAGAAAGTGAATGAAGTTATTATGTCAAACTAATTCTTTAAGCAGGAAAGTGGCTGTAGTCCAACTCCTATTGCTGTTAAAGACCATGAGATGGGTCTGAAAGTCCTAAAAGCTTATATTGATGATATGGTTACACATTAATAGATAGATATACTTGAGATAGGAATAGCTTTCAGAAATGGCGATCATATAGGGTTTATTACTTCTTACATTAAGCTTTAAGGTCACAGGACTGTAAGGGAGGAAACCTAACACCTTTCCATGCTGCTTTATGTCCTGGTTTAACCTTGTAACTAAATATATTTTCTCTTGTAACAGGTTATGACAGCAGTCACCTCGTCTTTGTTTTTCAGAACGTCACTCGCTGTAGGCTACCACCCTGCTGTTGTTGCTCTCAAGGTAAAGTAAGGATGAAGTTTGTTTTTGACCTTAACTCCTGACGGATTTGTAATTTATTAGGGAACACAACAGGTGGAGGAATAATGATGATCCCGGTGCTTCAAACTGGAAGGAATTCTGATGATCATGTCGAGTGCCAAATGTCAGATCCTGTCCGACACCCCCCCCCCCCTCCCGCTCAAAATTCCCAACAGGACCCCTGATTAGTGGCAGGCATTTGGGCATTAGTAATTGATGGTGTGGCAGATGAACAGTAGCAACTGTCTTCAGACGTCACTGCAGCAGGATGAGTGAAGAACACAGTGTTGCACAATTTGAAACATAAACAGTATCTGAAGCCTCTGCTATGTGTATTATATGGCATTTTACAAAATATGACAACATATTAAACACTAAAAATGCTGAAACCGTGTGAAGTTTGATGACATCCAAAGTCTCTGTAGAATAAAATATGGCTTTTTCTTTTATACCAAACATGCCAGGCATCCACCTTGCAGTTTCCTTTCCGTGACTATCTTCAATAAAGATATTATTGACCGTGACACATTATTACTCACTGTGTCACCCACGCCCATTTGGCATCCCTTGGAAAAAATGATTTGCAGTGGGGCATGGTCACAAGACAAAATCTGCCCATGCCTCCTAAAGCAGAGTAGCAACAGAGAAGCCTATTGGCTGGAGAGATTGCAGCAGCTGAAATAGCTATGTAAACACTTTCCCTCTCTCCGTGAGCCCCGGTAATAATAGCCAGGATGCCGGTGACGACAGTTGTCCCATCGAGACTTCAAATGCTGGAATAAATTTGACATTATGATATTTGATCCCGGCTCCAATGGCGCGCCCACGTAAACACTGGGGAGCGGTATAAAGGCAGGGGACCCCGGCTGGAACAGGAGTTGTTTACCCTTTAGCTCGGCGCTCCCGGACTTAACCCCGACACCGAGGCGTGAGTAGAAGCAGGGGGTCCTTTAAATCCAGTCCGCGGGGGTTTTACGTAACACAGAGGAGGGAAAAAACGAGGGGGACGCACCCGAGAGAGGGGACTTGACAGTTTGGTGACGAGGGCGGTGGATGTGTTGGAGAGGCCAGTGCGCACAGCGCGCAGGGACTAGAGCAGGTTGAGGATTTTTTACTGGAGGGCAGTGAAAACTTGTTGGTGGAGCAAGGTAAGGACAGTTGTTTATTATTAAGGCGTCAATGGCAGCTGTAATTACCTTTTAGTGCCATATGGGATGATATAATTTATATAGGAGTGCGGTTTATTTGAAAAAGGGTACTGAGGTTACTTCTGTTTGGCGCTATACAAATACAATTGAATTAAAATATGATTCACTTTAGACAGCATGAATGGCAAAACCTGAAGTTGCCAAATCCTGTTATGGTGATTTTTTTTTTTTAAATTACAATATTTCTAATTTTATTATAATTTATAATATTTATTTTACTTTGAGCAGATTGTATGGTGTCACTTTTTACACTTTCTTTGTCTCTGACATACATTCACTCCTCTGTCCCTCTCCCACACTCACAGGCCATGCAGCCAGTTTACTATGCATAGTTACAGGATTATTAATATCTCTACTCTTACATCACAGGTGGGAGGGAAGTGGCTGGTACATTCGGGCACTTTCGACCAGAATACTTGTCATATTCAATGATGGCAACAACAACAAACCCTCGTTGATTTAGGTTCACTTGATAGGAGCTGCAACAATATTCAGGCGATTACTTCCATTGGGGACACAACTTCTTTATGCCATTGATGAATGTTACCCAGGCCATATTTACATTTGAGTGTTTCTTCCCACGTTGTGAGGCATACAGAGGCAGGCTGGAGGTCAAAGTGACCGAAGAGTCTAAATACTCGCAGTGCTGCCCATGCATCACTCTTGTCTACACGTGGCGCATAGGTAGTCTTACATAGCTGTGAATTTTGGCCAAGAATGTGCAAAGAGACCTTTGACCTTTGAGGGGGCAGAAAGTGTCCCGTGTAATGAATAATTCGAGCAATAGAGACTAAAAGTAACTACTAAGTAGTAAAAAAAACAACTAAAAGGGATAAAAAGGTTTCACTTTCTGCAATTTGACCTCAGGCAGGTGTCATTGCAACTAGTGCTGGTCTGGAACAGGTTGATCAGCATTGTAAAAAAAAATAAAAGTGTCAGGTATGTTTACTTGAGATTTTAAAACCACACAGCTGGAGTATGCCAACCCTTTTTTCCTCTTTGTCTTTATTTTTATAGTGTTTCCAGGCCATCGATCCTTCCATCCCTCACTGGCAACCCCACAGTGATCTCTGAAAGGAAAGTGAAACAGGAGAAAGGGGAAATTGCCATTTAAAAGGGGCCTCTGGGTATTGAGCCGTCTACGTCATGGCAGCCATCGATCTGGAGCGTGGGCTGGAACACGGTGGCCGGGGCTGGGGGAAAGAGAGGCCAGAGCTGGTGGACAACTTTGACTCAGAGATGCAGGAGTGGGAGGACCAGCTGCAGGACATACAGAAAAAAATTGAGGAGGTAAGATTTCGTATAATAGAAACTGGATAAAGTAAATTTCCAAAGATATGATCTCAAGCTGCCATTTGTCTCTGAAATCTCTGGAAACACACTTGATGATGACACATTTAATACAGTGAGAACTTAGGGAGAACTTTTCACCTTTCTTCTCTCATTGATCCGTACAGTATTACACCTACTGATGTAGCAATATAGACATTAAATAAAGCAGCTCATGTTCATGGTTAATTCTGTTCTCCATCGAGTTATTTAGGTTGTTACAAAAAATATCTAAATGTGGTTGCAACAGACTCAAACATGTGAGACTGTGCGTGAACATGTTAATGGTTTTGTTTCCAGGTTATGAAGTGCTTCCGTAATCCCTAGAGTGTGTGTTAATTGATGTAATGTGTGTGTGTGTGTGTGTGTCGCACGTGTGTGTCCTTGCGCACCATAATAAACTGTTGGCAGCGCACTGACTGACTCAACCTTATGGCCTTGTTGGAGCAATGATACAGACAAATGTTAACATGCTAATTAAACTGTGATGTACTGACAGACGTGCTGAACACTCTCTCTCTCCCTCTTTCTCTCGCTC